CCCCAAATGCCTAGGGTCAGATTGTTTTAGCACAGAATTCTAGCACTTTCCAAGAATAGTTAATACCTGTACTCTTCAAATTATTCTACAAAATAGGAATAGAAGGAACATGAATTGCTCAATTCATTTCATAAGGCCACAGTTACCCTGATACCCAAACCACATAATGACCCAACAAAGAAAGAGAATTAGAGACCAATTTCCCTTATGAACATAGATACAAAAAATACTCAATAAAGTATTTGCAAACCAAATCCAAGAACACACCAAAAATCATCTACCATGATCCAGTGGGCATCTTTCCAGAGATGCAGGAATGGTTCAACATACAAAAATCTGTCAATGTAGCCCACAATGTAAATAAACTGAAAGACAAAAGCCACATGATCATCCCACTAGATGCTGAAAAAGCCTTTGACAAAATCCAACACCTCTCATGATAAGCATCCTGGAGAGACTAGGGATACAAGGGACATACCTAAACATGATAAAAACCTTCTATAGCAAGTCAATAGCCAACATCAAATTAAATGGAAATTCAAAGGAATTCCACTAACATCAGGAACAAGACAAGGTTGTTCACTCTCTCCTTATCTATTTCAATATAGTACTTGAAGTTTTAACTACAGCAATAAGACAATTTAAGGAAACCAAAGGGATACAAATTGGAAAGAAGTCAAAGCATTGTTATTTGTAGATGATATGATATTATATATAAGTGACCCTTAAAAATTCTATCAGGGAACTCCTACAACTGATAAACACCTTCAGTGAAGTGACTGGATACAAGATTAACTCACAAATCAGTTGCCCTCCTGTATACAAATGACAAAGGGACTGAGAAAGAAATCAGGGAAACAACACCCTTCATAATAGCCTCAAATAATATAATATAATATCTTGGGGAAATGCCAGCCATGCAAGTGAAAGACTCATAGGACAAAAACCTCAAGACTTTGAAGAAATAAAGATCCCCCATGCTCATGGATCTGTATGATTAACATAATAAAAATGACCACCTTACCAAAAGCAATCTACAGATTCAATGCATTCCCCATCAAAATTCCAACACAATTCTTTTTTTTCAACAATTTCAATATTCAGTCAAATGATTCACTGAACAGTCGCTGAACGATTAAGTACATGATGCTTACACATTAAATACATGACAATTATACATTAAACACTTGGTGAGTACAGACAGTAAAATATTATTCAGCTCTTTCTTAAGAAAAATTAGTTTGAAGGATATTTAAGGATATAGAGAAGAATTTGCATTATTGCACTTCACAAAGAAAGTTTAATAATCTATTATCTCAGTTTTATTGTATGTGTTCATAGGTATGTATGAACATATGCATATGTACACAACTATGCACACAATCGTTGGTGAAATGTGGGAGTTAAAGCAAAATCCAAATGTGACCCATGTCACTTTTCATGGCTCTTCCTTCTGACTGTCTGGCAATCTTTCCAGTTCTCTCCTGCCTCTTCCCTGGATGCTGACTTCTTCCAGTCCTTCCTCTCCCTCTCAGCATTTCTCCATGGGTGCTGGAAGGAGTGAACCCACCCCTGCCCTCAGCCCACTCCCTCCCACTGTCCCCTGGCTTTGACTCCCCTCTTCCTCCAGGCCCTCTTTCTCACCCTCTTCCTTGAGCACACTTGGCCATGGAGAAGTGTAGACAGTTAGATCAACAGTGAGTTTATAGATCCCAGAGCACAGTCTGGCCATGGGTACTGGAGCTTGATAGGACCTACTGGGGGAGCCTGCCAACACAATTCTTTACAGACCTCGAAAACACAATTCTCAACTTCATATGGAAACACAAAAAACCCAGGATAGTTAAGATAATCTCGAAATAGAAAAGAATTTCCAGAGATATCACCATCCCTGATTTCAAGCTCTACTACAGAGCTGTAGTACTAAAAACCACATGGCATAAAAATAGATATGTTGATCAATGTGACAAGTTGAAGACCCAAGCAGAAATTTACAGACCTATGGACACCTGATTTTTTTATATAATGAAAAAGAAAACATCTTCAATAAATGGTGCTGGTCAAACTGGATGTCCACATGTAGGAATACAAATAGATTCATATCTATCACCATGAACAAAACTCAAGCCCAGATGGATCAAAAACATCAACATAAAACCAGATACATTGAACCTGATAGAGGAGAAAGTGGGGAGTAGCCTCGAATTCATCAACACAGGAGACTTCCTGATGATATAACAAAAACATGCTATTGACACTCGCTCCATTTTGTTATTTCTTTACTTCCTCTCTCCCTAGTCACAGTCTATTCTTCCCCCACTGTGTCCTCAGCCTAATGGCCAACGGTAAAGCTCAGATCCCTAATTGGCAATGTGTAACTGCTCAGATACTTGGTACGTAAATGTTCGCATGCACATCGAAACTCCAGGGTAGTTTCCAAGGAAGCAGACATGGTGGGCATGAGATTTGACCTCCATTGTTTCCAGATAGTGTTCTAACTTGACCACAACAAACAACTTGTGACATGACCCCAGGCATGTGAGATGGGTAACAAGAAGTTCAAGAAACTTTGAGGAAATTCCTTTAGGTACAAGAACTGGATTAAAAACAAATGCACAATGACAGCACACAATTGAGCCTAAACAAATCCCCATCTCAGAATGTAACCACAGCTCCAGTCACAGATGAAGAGTGAAGACCAGCATCTTCCAACCAGTTGTTCCCCTAGCAAAGAAAGAGGTGGTAATGGGGGGATCGGATGGATAAACACCAAGTGAGCAGCCAACCATGCCTGGGCAGTTTCTTTTCATAAGAGATATTAGTAATTAAAATATGGCAAAAGCATAAAGACTGAAAATGAAATAATAGGCTAGTCTGTGCATGGCAAGGGTAGGGGAAAGAGAGCAGCCAAGAAATATTTATGAAAAGCTTCATTCAAAACACCCTTGGTAAGAGTGGGACAAAGGTACTTTTGAAAAATGAATGCAATCCACACTAAAGACCTTTGAATCTTATATCCATATAAGCTATAGCTTTTTGGAATGAATTAACAGTATATATTAGTGATTTTAAAATTCTATTTTTTTTATTTGTATGTGTGTGTGTGTGTGCGTGTGCGTGTGCGTGTGCGTGTGCGTGTGCGTGTGTGTGTGTGTGTGTGTGTGTGTGTGTGTGTGTGTGTATGCCATGTGTGCTAGTGTCATATGAAGGAGTCACAGGAGGATGTGGAATCCCTGGAAGTTAGAGTTACAGGCAATCGTGAACCTGCCCAACATGGATGGGTTTTGGGATCTTAATTCAGGTCCTCCAGAAGGGCAGCAATTGCTCTTACCTACTGAGCCATTTCAAGAGTCCTAATAATGATTTTTTAAAACAACTATTTGTTCTTTACTGGTCAAATAAGTAAAATACAAACAAAGATTAGGGCAAGATATGAAAAATACAAATTTTACTTGATGGATGTACTAGCCCATGACACTGGTAAACAAGTAGCATTTGCTCATTTTTTCCAGCACCAGTGAACATTTGCAAATAAGCACCATGACCACAAAGGGCATTTTAACCTGTTCCATATACAATAAAAGCAGAGGCTACACATATGCACTGTGTTAAGTGGAAATTAGTAGAGCAGAGCACATATGAAGAAACCAAAGTGCAGCCACTTGAGTAGAGAAACAGTGTTTTAACTTATGTCTCTGACGGCTGCGACAAGGGACACATTTGGCCGCAAGCTTTGACTGCTGAGCTTAGGAACAGCAGTGTTCTGTGTACTCTGAGCACCCCTTCCCCACACCCTCACCAGCCTGAGTACCATTCCTCATGTGAGTGGTTTTCATTTAAGGAACTCGATGAAACATTCTTCATGGCACCCCAGCTGAGTCCTCCCCTCCCTGTCTATTTCCCAGGAGTCAGGTTTCTATTTCTGTCTAACCCACTTCTCTTTCCACTATGCCTCACAGATATCCTCTTGCTCAGCCAATTGCTTCATTGTATTTGCTTCTCAAAGGGTCTGGAATAACACTAGTATAGTGAGAAAACCCACTCTACAACCACAGTTTACCCAGGGAACGAGAATGAACAGGTCTCCTACTGAGTGCACACGAACAAGTCGACAGTCAACTAGCAATCTGCAGATAGCTCAGTAATTGTGGGCATAAAGAGTGAGTCAGGAAGCCCAGGCAACAGGCAGATCCACTGAAGAAACAGTGTCTATGATCCAGATCCAAAGGTGTTTATGCTTTTTGTAAAAGCTCTAGCTCACCTTAGGGTTTAAATAGATATGTAACATTATCAACACCACTAATGTTGGACCTTTAATAATATCAGGTTCCATGGGAACTTCTTTTGTGTATAAATCCTGAGCTCCACAGTGTTGAAGGAAGCCAGGAAATGAGCAAATATCAGCAATGATGGAAACAGCCCGTGCTCACAGTGGAAGCCTGTCCTGGGACGCAGAAGGCACTCATTAATTGTTTGCTGGTTCAACGGACTGAATTCATATTGTATATGAATGAGCTTCATATGAAATCCCGTGGAAGTAAAGGGTTCTCTTTTCTGACTGATGAGCTATCTATCACCTTACTGCTAGTAGTAACTGATGGGGGAATGTCTTTCTGTATGCTGCGAATATGTGTTGCTCTGATTGGTTGATAAATGAAGTTTTGGTCTATGGCAAGGCAGCTTAGAGGCAGGTGGGAAGTTCAAAGAGAAAGACAGGAAGAAGGCTGGGGGAGACACCAGCGAGCCACCCAAGGAACAACATGTAATGGGATGCAGGTAAAGCCACGGAACATGTGGCGATAAATAGATTAATAGTTGTGGGCTAATTTAAGATCTAAGAGCTAGCTAGTCAAAGGCTTGAGCCATGGCCATGCAATTATAATTAATATAAGCCTCTGTGTGTTTATTTGGGGGGATACAAGTGGCAGGCTGGGACACAGGAAATCTTCCTACTACAAGTAACTTATAATGTCCTCCAAATCCCATCTCTTTCCAGTTACCTTCACATCCAAGTTCTTGGAAACAGTTTCTAGGGCAGAAAAGAGTTCTTGAAATGATTTCTCAACTTGTCGGCACTCATGCCTGATGAGCTGGATGTCTCCGGAAAGCTTCACAATGCTTGAATCACATCTAGTGTTAAGATGGAAATCTGTGTGAGATCAGCAAGTTCATAAAACTGTAAACTGTAAGCAGGATCTAGGTATTCACTTGACGTTCAAATTTCTCCATGCTGGCAGATGTGGGGGCCATGTAGAGACTGAAAGAAGCAAGTGTGGTCACAACACTGAGGTACTGTGGGAGCACTGTGAGGAGTGGAAGGAAATGTTATATTTCAGCTGTAGGGATTTTTCTTTTCTTTTTTAAAGGCGAGGTCTCACTGTGTACCTCTGATGGCCTGCTACATAGACAAAGCTGGCCCTGAAATCACAAACCTACAGCTGCCTTCCCTCCCCAGGGCTGGAATTAAAGGCATGTGTTAACATGCCTGGCTAAAGCTGAGTGGTTTTTGTTTTTGTTTTTTACAGATTCTGGTGTTCAGGCAATATACTCAGTTGCCTTGGGTTAGTCAGTTCTGCCAACTTTTCCTCTTCTTTATCATGCTCTGAATCCACTTTTCTCTCTCAGCCGTTTTTTTTCTCTCTGTCAGTTTTTCTTTGGTTAGAGAAAATATCTGAATTAACTAAAATGTTCTACTCTATCTTCAAAAACATTGTCCAGTTCTTTTAGCTTCTAACAAAACTTCTCTTCCTGGACTAGTCTCAAACTGGTGTTGGTAGGACAAAGGCACTTCACACTGACACCTGAATAAAACTTTCGGTCCTTAGGCAGCTCTGGGTGTTTCAGGGAAGGAAGTCTGGTGAGAGTATGGCAGGGAAGAGCATGCAGAACTGTGGCCCTCTGTTGCCTACGCCTCTCCAGGAGACTCTGCCTGCTGCGTTAAGGACCAGTTTCAGCTGTTGCTCATGTGTGAGTGAATGGTAGGACACAGCACTGAAGAACTGGTTAGTTGTCATTCTATAAAACAACTGTTTTTGATTGTCATCAAATAATAGTTGCAAGAAATCACAATTTCATTTCATCATGCCAAGTAACATAAATATCTTAGGACTACTAATATTTTGTAAACTCCACAACTGAATTTTTTTCTTTAAGACTTTGGAACCAACAGTGAATTAAGATAGTAATCTTGTCTAGCACTCTGTGAAGGGAGGCTATGCTGTGGGGAGACAAAATAGGAGTCAGTCTGATTGAATGAGAACAGCATGCTATGCACCCATGTTAGGAATGAGAACAGTACACTATGCACTCATGTCATGGTCAAAAACTGTTGTATACATTTGTGCATACTAACTGTAATGGTTGGAATGGCAACTCGGCTGTTGATTTGTTAGAATGCCCTTATGTGAATCCACGTTGAGACCATACCTCCCCAAGACGAGAGAGGAGCTGCTGCCACTTGCATTACTTCCTGTCCCCTCTGCCATCCTCTCCTTTCTCTCCACTCTCTGGGACAGCAGCTGGTGTGCACAATGGAGGCTCTAACTAAGAAGCTGGTGTCAAACAGACCAGGCTTCGAGTCCTAGCTCTGCATTTCTTAGGTTTGTGATCTGGGATGAATTTCTTAACACTTATGAGTTTGGATTTTCTACACTGGAAAAGAAGTAGTTCAGGGACCAGTGTCGCTGAAGTCATCGTCTGCACAGCTGCATCATTTTTACTCCACATTATCCCATTGGCGAATGTGTGCACATGTCTTCTGAAATGCTGCCAGCTCAACTTTCAGGACTCTTAGGTGGCTCTCCTAACAGTACTACTACCCAAAGTTAAGGCCAGGAGGGGGCAATGGGTATGAATTATTTAGACAGTGCTTGGCACTGTGGGATCATATACATGAAGTTGGCAGCTTTATTTACTATCTGAACGTTGTCCCTGGTGTATTCTTACCCTGCAAACCTAACCCCATGGATGCTGAAGTCCAGGATTGATCAACAGCTCTTTATTCCCAGGGGCTGTTCTTTGTGTCTACCCTTCTCTAGGATAATTTTGCTTCTGATAAAACATGCCCATTATAAACCATGTTTTCTGAGGCTGGTTGACTTTATAGACATAGAGCCCACAGATATGATGGCTGAATGTGTACTTCTCTACTACAGGAAATATTTTTTTCTGGTATAAATTACTTCAAAAGAAACATAGACTTGAATTGCTGGCTTTTTACATCTGCCATCTCAACTACAGACAGTGTCTGTTGCCCACACCCTCAAAAAAAAAATCTCGATGAAATAAATGTACATAGCTGCTCCTTCAGTGCTGTTGTAAATATTTTGTTCTTTTTAAATGTCAAATTGTATGATGCTTGAATTGTGTTCTATAACTGAAAATTCAGTTATTGGATTTTCATTCTATATTCCTTAGCAGATATTTTATGCTCCCTCCAATTCTTCTTTTAATTTTAATTTATTTCTTTGTTGGCCAGATTTTGTTTTTCTGATTTCAGTGGAAGAGCTGCTTAGGCATATTCAAATACTTAAGTGTTAAAGGAGGCTGTTTGCTCTCACATTTGTGGAAGAATGACTTAAGACAATATTTTCCTTCCATTCATGAACTGACTAGAAGGGTACAGGTGTATTTCATTCTTCTGATGGCACCTGTCTCCTGTCACCCTTGGGAAGGTGACTTGGCTAAGATAGTTTTTATTTCATTCAAATATTATAGGTATTGTGCCATTCTTTTCAGGAATATTCCACATCCATGTAACTTTGTTAAAGTACATTGTTATAATTTAAATTTTTTAAAATCTCTTCCTGGGCTTAATTTATTAAGTCAAATTTTACTGTTGAGCAAATAACTAATAAAAATTACAGTTACTGTAGGGTGAACACTAGCTGTTTCAGGCATCTTGTGGATGTTAATGAGGTATCTCCCACAGGTAAGGGTGGTCACTGTGCAGTGGGACTGGGCTTGCTCCTCCCTGCCTGCCCCAGTTCTCTCTAGAGACAAAGCTGAATATCGTTAGGGAACTCTGTGGTGTCACCCTTTGCTTTTGATGTAGAAATTCGAGTGGTGTAATTAAGGTTCCTAAGGCCATTTCCACATGCTTTTCTGATTTACAACTCCAAGACTTCTTGATATGCCTCATCCTAATGGGTTCATCTTTGAAGGAGAAAAATAACTTCACTGTAGATTTAATGCTGCCCTTAGACAGCACTAACTTAGAAGTTCATGCAGCTTTTTGTGAAACTGGGAGATTTTCAGTTTGAACTCTTGCTTTCTATTTCTGGGCAATTCCCCTCATAAGGTATATTCTCCAACATTTTTGTCTATCATCTCCTCTCTCTCTTTCTCTCTTTCTCTCTTTCTCTCTCTCTCTCTCTCTCTCTCTCTCTCTCTCTCTCTCTCTCTCTCTCTCTCCTCTCTCTCTCCTGTCTCTCTGTCTGTCTCTGTCGGTCTGTCTGTCTGTCTGTCTCTCTCTCCCTCTCCCTCTCTCTCTCTCTCTCTCTCTCACATACATTTATCTATCATCTTGGAGTTCTGACCCCACTCCAGCTGCATGGCCACACACGCGCAGTTCAGCAGCTAAACAAGGGGTCTTGCGTCTTACATCATCAGTGCACGCTGGTGATTATGTGCATGCGGCATGGTCATGCAATCAACGCATGCTTGGCATAGCTCTGTAAGCCCGCTTGTGCATGTTCACAGGAACCCTTAAAAAGCCGGACACAAAACTGCCAAATACTGGCACACGCTATACGACCAGCTCTTGAAAGCCACCAGGTCCCTGTTTAAGTGTGGGAAAGAAGGCCACATGGGCTAATGCATGCCCTGCTGGGCCATTGATTGAGCCTTGTTCAAAGTGCCACCTAGAGAGATAAGTGGTCAGCTGACTGCAACCAGGCACCCAGCAGCGTGGGGACAAACAAAGACCTCCAGCAGACCTCCTAGGCTTGGCCATGGGCTCGAAGGGAACCCAGGATGTAGCATGGAGGTGATCTGTTTCCTTCCTGTTGGACACCGAACCACTTACTCAGTCCTGAATTATACCACCAAATTGAATCAAATCATATTTCATTCAAAAGGAAGTGTTTATTGCTTCTGTTTTTCAAATATATATATATTTAAGTGGGGCCATGGGTTCACTCGTGATTATCTTATTAACTTGATATATAACTCACACAAATCTAAAAGACATTGTCTAATAAATATAGAATGATATGTAAACATTGTGTTTATTTACTTGTATATGATATATCTGGGTTGTCAGTTAATTTTTCTTTGACGACATCTAACCACGAGTCTTATTTCCTAAACAGTATTGACCCTTTAGAGGAATAAAGTGACACTTCAGAACTGTGGAGTCTTTGCTAGTGCCACCAGGTTATCTGTGTTGGAGGACACTGGGCTCCTCACCTGCCTCTACCCCTCCTGCTTCCCCTTTGAGCACCATGCCCATTCTGGTTAAGATCCCACATACTTCCCAGATGTGACAGTTTGAGACCTTCCCTTTGGGGTCCTGCCCCCACTTTTATGACCAGGGTCCTTTTGAGCAGGGAGAAGTGGTAAATATTTAGATAGAGAGACCTAGACGATGAGAGGAAAGATAGAAACACAGGACAGCCTTGGGAGGGCCTTGGTCAAAACTCACTATCCCAGAACTTTATTCAAAAGGTTTTTTATAACAATGCCAAGGGAGGAGACAAAAGACCTCCCCCTTGTTAGATACAACCAAGTGTAGACCCTTCCAAACACCTGGTACCCAGGCCCATGGTCCAATCATCCTCTTATATAGCCCTGCTGGTAAAGCAAGCTCAGATCTCACTAGGAAACCTCTGTGGGCTCCAACACTTCTCTTCTTTGTCCCCACTGCCTCTGCTGAATAATGGGGGGACAAATATTCAACCAGACCCCAGACCAAAAATTTAGATATGTTTCCTAAAAATTTTGACATGTATTCCTCTGTCCTAATTAATGTTAATTCATGTAGTCATCCTATAGATTATATTTTCCCGTGCCTGTCCTCTGCACTGGACATCCATGGCTAGTGACTTAGTTCAGGCCCTCCCTGCTTCTACCCTGGATTGCTGCAACAGACTGCTCCTGATGTTTGTGCCCTCTTTCTGTGTACACCACCACTTCAGATATTATTAGAATGCCACCAAATATATCACCCCTCACCTAAAACCCTCTGTGGCTATTTACAACCTTCTACATGAAGTTCAAACTTCAGCCCACAAGGTCCCTCATTTTTCAACTTTGGCTGCTTCTTTGGCATTATCTCCCATCTTTTCTTGAATGCATACTCCAGAATAACATAGCCAGAATACTCTTCTCTTTGGCAGGCCTTGGAACACGCCTCAGCAGACCTTCCCTTTGTTCTTTTCCAAACATTTTCCCTCCTCCTGTATGAAGTGTCTTTCCCACCTTTCTTAGCTGGTTACTACAAATCCTTCAAAAACTCATCCTGAGTATTGGCTCCTTGGAGCAACCTCTTCCACTCAGTGTGGTTTGAACATTTACAACACACCAGGCTTTCAGGACAGTACTATCCTCATTGCTGGCAAGCTGTTGATAGAGGTGGTTTTGCCAGGTGAACAGTGAAGAGCTGAGAGGGGACTGTGTTGTTGAATCTTAGCTTGGTATATGGTAAATGATAAGTTGAATGAGTTGTGGTTTTGTTTTTGGTTTTGAGATTGTAACCTTGGATGTCATGAAACTAGATATATAGAACAGACTGTCCTTGAACTCACAGATCTCCACCTGCTTCTCCCTCCAGAGGTCTGGGATTAAAGGTGTGTGCCACCATTCCTGGGTATGAATGCATTTTTATTGAACTGGCAGAATAGATATCCTGTAATAATCTGGATTAACTCTGTATCTTTCCAAATCCAAGTGCTGTCAGTATGATAGAATTAGGTGAGGCAACTGACAGGTGGTAGACCATGGGAACTCCTCCCAAATGAACCAAATTAAGGCCCTCGTGGAAGTCTTCAGGTTTCTGCCACACAAGAACACTGTCTATTCCCCTGGAAGATGCAGGTCTCACAAGACAATGGACTTGCTGTCCTGGAGTATGGATTCCCAGCCTCTGAAATTATGAGACACTTGAGTTTTTGTTCTTATAAATATCAAGTTTCAGGTATTCTGTGACTGCCGCATAAATAGACTAAGAGAAGTTTGACTTCGATGACAGCCATCTAATTCTCATCTGCTAATTTACTTTTTGGAAAGAATAGGATGAAGGTGGAAAATTCAAGGAACAAGGATCTGGCAGAAGATGTAGAGGTGGAAGATACCTATGGTAATCCACTCTCAAGTAATTTCCCATGTGTCTGTCAGGCCAGTCCAGCCATAGTCATTACCGAACTTCTGATATATCTGTCAGTGTTTCTACCACTGTCATTATCTAGGAGGGATTTTTATGATTCATACACTGGTAACTCTTGATTTAAACATCTCATGCAAAAGGTGCTACTCAGAACTCCATTTGTCTGATTTGTATATAATCATTGGACACTTTAAATACTTTATTTCCCAGAATGTAACACACTTGGGGATATTGTGTGTTTATGTGGGTGTTCTGAGTATAACTGTTGGCATCTGGGCAGTTGAAGGCTGTAAAGACAAGACTCTGGGTATTCCCACTAACACAAAACTGGACATTCTATGTAAGAGCTCCTGGAACTGAGAGTGAGCATCAGACTTTCAAAGTTTTGTGAGGCAGTTTCTTAACTGCAGGTCACCCACTTAACTCAATGTAAATCGGCAGTTCATCTTTTAAACTGTGAAATTTTTCTGAGAGGAATTCCATAGCCAATAGTGTCTGGTAAACCTTAGCTGAGCACATTTCTCACCTGGCTACTCTTCCTCGAAGGTCTCCAACTCCATGCTGGTGTTTGGTGTTTAGCTCCTGCACTGCAAAGTTAGTTCCTGTGGCTGCCTGGTCTCGAATTCTTATTTGGTCTTCTAGGATCTGTAATTTTGAGTTACGGCCATAATTAATTTCCCAATAACATGATAAGAGAACATCACTAAAATGCACATTGTGGTTAGGCAGATGGGGAAAAGGGAGAGGGGGAGAGGAGGGGGAGAGAGATGTATTAACAGAGGGAGGCTGATGTAGTTTCAGCTGAGTGCTGCCAAGGGCTAATGAAGTCTCAATAATTTTTGAACACTAGCCAGAAAGTCAGGCTTCATGTGAAATCTCTGAATTCAAAAACATTGTCATCTACTATGAAAATCAGTATGGCTGTTCCTCAAGAAGCTGGGAACAGATCTTCCTCAAGATTCAGCTATACCACTCTTGAGCATATATCCAAAGGACTCTGCATTCTACCACAAAGACACTCATCCGTGCTGCTCTATTCATAATAGCGAGAAATGGAAAATAGCCTAGATGTTCATCAACAGATGAATGGATAATGAAAATGTGGTACCTTTACACAATAGAATATTATTCAGCTGTTAAATAAAAAACAAAATCATGAAATTCTCAGGTAAATATATACAGCTAGAAAAAAGTAGTCTTCAATGAGGTAACGGCCCCCAAAATACAAATGTGGTATACATTCTCTTATATAGGAATGCTAGCTTTTAAATATTCAACAGGCATGCTACAATCCATATAACCACAGAGGTTAGGGATAAAATAAGGGCCTAGCAGGGAGGGGAGGGTCTCTGAAGGAAGGAGGAATAAAATATATGGTTATGAAGAGACACGGTGAAGGCTGAACAGAAGGATTGAGTAGAGAGGAGGAGGGAAGAGGGGTAAAGAGGGAATATGAGGAGGGAACAGCTAATACTAAGGGCCATTTGAGGGGTCATGTGGAAATCTACTAGAGTAGAGGCTTTTAAATATTTATATATATGAAAGAAATCTAAAAGAAGTCATCAAATAATGGAGAAGACAAAACCCAAACTAGACATCATTTTGTAAAGTGTCTACTCTACATTTCTTAGAGATTATAAAAGACTTACATCATATGTATGTTCAGATTTTATCCCTATTATCATATCTCAAATGTGTTCTGGCATTTTCCTATAGTACCAAGTTGGTAGTGTTGACAATAGTGGTTTTAAAAATATTTTACACCAACTTGTAACTATTAACTTAAAAATAAAAAAAACCCCTATTCCTTAAAAGTAATATTTTAGTTGAAAAACAACTTCAGTGTACACTGACAAAATGTTTAGTTGAGCAAAAAGAGCATAGTATTTTGGAAAAAAATAACTTGTGATTTATGGAAACATTTGAGTTTAGTTTTATATTTAACAATAAGCAACAGTATTTTTCTAAGAAAAAAAATCCCTGCTCTAAGGTGTTTGACTCCTTATTGTGGAATATTACTTTAACTATGTAATGGTGTGTTGTATTTATTTGTGCTACATTTGTTTAATTATGTAAAGATGTGTTACTGTTTTATCTTGCCTGCCTAAGGCACCTGATTGGTCTAATAAAAAGCTGAATGGCCAATGGCTAGGCAGTAAAGGGATAGGCGGGGTTGGTGGGTAGAGAGAATAGGAGGAGGAATCTAGGCTTGAGAGAGAAGAGAAGAGAAGGAGGGCGAAAGGGAGGGAGACGCCCAGGACCAGCCAGCCAGCCACAGAGTAGGACATACAGAAGGAAAGAAAGGTAAAAAGCCCTGAGGCAAAATGTAGATGAAGAGAAATAGGTTTAAGAGCTATAAGTTTAAGTTTAAGAGCTAGTGGGACAAGCATAAGGTAAGGCTGAGCACTCATAACTAATAGTAAGTCTCCATTGTCGTGATTTGGGGGCTGATGGACAGAGAAGGCCAGCTACAATGCCTCTTATGGTATTAATATTTCCACTATAATTTCAATCAACACTCATCGTACTATAGCACCCAAAGATGGGAAGACAAATGCCTGAACTGTGTTTATACTTGATGAATTTTACCAGGCAAAAGGAGGTTTTAAAAAGTGAATGATAGGAATGGAAAAGACCTTACACACACAGATTTCCCCCATTTTTTAAACTGGCAGATTGGGACAATCTGTGAGCAAGGAAACCTGACCCCTAGACACTGCTGTCAGTGGTACTTCCTGTGCATGGACAGCCAGTTTCCTGAGGCCTCTGCTAGGTTGGACACAATCCAGGGGGTGGCCCGAGCCCATGAGGGCACCACAAATTGGACTTTAGTTGGGATAAGGAAGGGAGTGTAAATCAGATGACTTACATGGAGAAATGAGACTGAATCAAAGTCTATTGCATATACGAAATTCTGAAAGATTTTATAAAATATATGTGTATTTTAAAAGTAAGCATCAAAAACGTTTTTGGTTTTGTCTTTTGCATTGCTTTTCCTTCAGTAAAGACCAGTTATGAGCCAGGTGTGGTGGTGCATGCCTTTAGTTCCAGCACTAATCCTAGTGCTAAGGAGGCAGAGGCGGGTGGATCTCTGTGAGTTCAAGGCCAGCCTGGTCTATAGTGAGTTCCATGACAGCCAGAGTGACATAGTGAGACCCTGTCTCAAAGAACAAAGAAACAAAAAACAAAGAAAATGGAGATGAAGGAAGTAGTTCTGCAGTACCTGGAGATTTTCTAGGATGAAACCAAGTAGAGTATAGGAGCGGCCAACTCACTGTAGTGTAGACCGGTGATGTACATAGCAATGCACACTGCAGACCATCTCAGTGTAGTGTAGACCTGTGATGTACACAATGCACACTGCAGACCATCTCAGTGTAGTGTAGACCTGTGATGTACACAGTGCACACTGCAGATCATCTCATTGTAGTGTAGACCTGTGATGTGCATAGTGCACACTGCAGATCATCTCAGTGTAGTGTAGACCTGTGATGTGCACAGCAATGCACACTGCAGATCATCTCAGTATAGTGTAGACCTGTGATGTGCACAGCAATGCACACTGCAGACCATCTCAGTGTAGTGTAGACCTGTGATGTACATAGTGTACACTGCAGATCATCTCAGTGTAGTGTAGACCTGTGATGTACACAGTGCACACTGCAGATCATCTCAGTGTAGTGTAGACCTGTGATGTACACAGCAATGCACATTGCAGACCATCTCAGTGTAGTATAGACCTGTGATGTACACAGTGCACACTGCAGACAATCTCAGTGTAGTATAGACCTGTGATGTATACAGTGCACACTGCAGATCATCTCAGTGTAGTGTAGACCTGTGATGTACATAGTGCACACTGCAGATCAACTCAGTGTAGTGTAGACCTGTGATGTACATAGCAATGCACATTGCAGACCATCTCAGTGCAGTGTAGACCTGTGATATACATAGGGCACACTTCAGATCATCTCAGTGTAGTGTAGACCTGTGATGTTCATAGTGTACACTGCAGATCATCTCAGTGTAGTGTAGACCTGTGATGTACACAGCAATGCACACTGCAGACCATCTCAGTGTAGTGTAGACCTGTGATGTACACAGCAATGCACACTGCAGACCATCTCAGTGTAGTGTAGACCTGTGATGTACACAGTGCACACTGCAGACCATCTCAGTGTAGTGTAGACCTGTGATGTACATAGTGCACACTGCAGATCATCTCAGTGTAGTGTAGACCTGTGATGTACATAGTGTACACTGCAGATCATCTCAGTGTAGTGTGGACCTGTGATGTGCACAGTGCACACTGCAGATCATCTCAGTGTAGTGTAGATCTGTGATGTACACAGTGCACACTGCAGATCATCTCAGTGTAGTGTAGACCTGTGATGTACACAGTGCACACTGCAGATCATCTCAGTGTAGTGTAGACCTGTGATGTACATAGTGCACACTACAGATAATCTCAGTGTAGTGTAGACCTGTGATGTACATAGTGTACACTGCAGATCATCTCAGTGTAGTGTAGACCTGTGATGTGCACAGCAATGCACACTGCAGATCATCTCAGTGTAATGCAGACCTGTGATGTACATAGTGTACACTGCAGATCATCTCAGTGCAGTGTAGACCTGTGATGTACACAGCAATGCACACTGCAGACCATCTCAGTGTAGTGTAGACCTGTGATGTACACAGCAATGCACACTGCAGACCATCTCAGTGTAATGTAGACCTGTGATGTACACAGCAATGCACACTGCAGATCATCTCAGTGTAGTGTAGACCTGTGATGTACACAGTGCACACTGCAGATCATCTCATTGTAGTGTAGACCTGTGATGTGCATAGTGCACACTGCAGATCATCTCAGTGTAGTGTAGACCTGTGATGTGCACAGCAATGCACACTGCAGATCATCTCAGTATAGTGTAGACCTGTGATGTGCACAGCAATGCACACTGCAGACCATCTCAGTGTAGTGTAGACCTGTGATGTACATAGTGTACACTGCAGATCATCTCAGTGTAGTGTAGACCTGTGATGTACACAGTGCACATTGCAGATCATCTCAGTGTAGTGTAGACCTGTGATGTACACAGTGCACACTGCAGATCATCTCAGTGTAGTGTAGACCTGTGATGTGCACAGCAATGCACACTGCAGATCATCTCAGTGTAGTGTAGACCTGTGATGTACACAGTGCACACTGCAGATCATCTCAGTGTAGTGTAGACCTGTGATGTACACAGTGCACACTGCAGATCATCTCAGTGTAGTGTAGACCTGTGATGTACACAGCAATGCACACTGCAGACCATCTCAGTGTAGTGTAGACCTGTGATGTACCCAGTGCACACTGCAGACCATCTCAGTGTAGTGTAGACCTGTGATGTACACAGCAATGCAAACTACAAACCATCTCAGTGTAGTGTAGCATTGACCTGTAATGTAACATAGCAATGTAATGAAGACTTCTGTAACACTGGGCAAGGCATATCCACACTAAGACACAGGTATGCATGTGAGTGTGTGTGTGTATGTGTGTGTGTGTGGGGGTGGCGTGGGGTGGGGGAGAGGTGCATCATGGGACAGGACCACAACAAATGGTATTGGTAACTTTGGTTACTTTTTAGTTTCAAAGCAGAATATTTGAATTTTTAACTTTATATAAAACTGAGCAAATACACTTTAAAAATAAGATAAAAAAAGCACAAGAAGTCATTGCAAATGTTATTGCTAAGGGTTCACTGAGGTCAGGCAGCCAGCATGTGCCTCAATGCAGGACCTGTGCAGCAGCAGCAGCAGCAGCAGCAGCAGCAGCAGCAGCAGCAGCAGCATCTCTTGCTGTCTTTGTTTGCTGTGGCACCAGGAGCGACGACTGAAATCATAGTGGAAATATGACCATCAGAGGGTCAAACACCACATAGCAGGGAATTTCTGTCAGAAAAATACTTGTTTGTTGGTGGTTGTTGTTTATTTTTTGGAGGGCCAGCCATCCAGCTCCCAATAAACCACACACGGAGGATTATTGTTACTTATGAATGCCCAGCCTTAGCTTGGCTTAGATCCTACCCAACTTTTCTTAATTTATCCCATCTACCTTTTGCCTCTGGGCTTTTCCCATTCTCTAACTTCTGTAAATCTTACTCTTATTCCATGACTTGCTGCGTAGCTGGATGGCTGGCTCCTGGGCCCTCCTCCTTCTCTCTTGCTCCTTGATCTTGCCTCTCAGATTTCTCCTTCTATATATTCTCTCTGCCTGCCAGCCCTGCCTGTCCTTTCTCCTGCCTTCCTATTGGCCATTCAGTTCTTTATTAGATCATCAGGTGTTTTAGACAGGCACAGTAACACAGCTTCACAGAGTTAAACATGCAACATAAACAAAAGTAACACACTTTACAATAACATTATTCTACAACACTGGTCGCTTATTGTTAAATGTTTAACAATGTGCTGCTGGCTATTATCCTTACTACATAAAAGAGCTTATCATATTAAACATAATTAAAACATGCTGAAACCCCAGAAGATATATTAGCAAAGTACATGGACAGAATATTAGCTGAGAAAATAAAAATTATCATAATCAGATTAACAAGTGGATTCAACATCTTGAGGAAAAATAAAACGACATCTAATTTCTGTACATTAGTAAGAATTGAAACAATAAATCTAGATGTTGGCATAAGCCCAATGTGAAGCATCCCAGAGGATGTTAATGGGGTGTAAATTAGTGCAGAGCTTGTGGAGCCAGTTTAGCAACATATATAAGGAGCTTTTATTATGTCTACACTCCAGTGATTCCACTTCCAAGAATATATGTTGTGGAGGTAATCCAATACACAAGTGTATTTCAATATTAAGAAAGTAATTAAGCCAATCATGATCTATACACTACATAAAGAGATTTTAATGACGTGAGTTTACAATTTTATGTTAAAGATTGTGCTTGCATTGATAGTAGTCTGCCTCCTAAGTGAAATGCTCATAAGGACTAGAAGGAGAGTTCTCTGGGTGTTTGTAGAGATTGTCATTTGGTAGTAGAATTGTGAGAAAATTTTCCCAGGCTTCAAAATTTCTTCCTAAACTTTCAGATAAATTATAATAAGGAAACATTGCTTTTAATAATTAGAGCAAATACCCTCCAATAGAGCAGTATTGACTATAAACATTTCCTTTATTGAATTCAAAATAAATTAATTTTGAAACTTACAGTGAATTCCTGGTTAAAAAATTTTTGTTTTTCTAGGTTTGGTGGTGCATGCCTGTACCCTAGCATTTGGAATGCAAAGGCAGAAAAGTTATAGGTTTAAGGCCAGCATGTCTCAAAAATCCATTTGACTTTTAAAAGGGACAAGCCACTTAGCTGCTGCGATTGTGGTAAGATACCCCTCTCCCAATTCTTTCAAGGACTTGAGTTCAATTTTATTTCATATTTGAATATACTTTTAGGGCCAATATGCAAATGGACTAATTGGGTTGATGCATCTGGTTTCCTTTAAAATATTGGAAAGCATCCATTTCCCTATAAAATGTTCATTAACTGAGTTATTTACTAATGCTAGCCTAATAGTTTCTGCTTTGCCATGTTTAATTAGATTATCTTAACATCATGAATACTTTTCTGTGGTCCTGGGGATCAGTCTCAGGGCTTATATATGCTAGGCAAGTGCCCTACCACTGAACTATACTTTCAGCTTTTGATTTTGCATGGTAAGTTCTTATAATGTAGCTCAGACTGGCCTGGAACTTTCGATTCCCTTGTCTTACTTCCAACTCCTGAGATTACAGGCACGTGCCAGCATGCCTAGATATATAAACACTGCTATCACATTCAGTTTTAGAACTTCATGGCAAGTTTTTAACTTTCTCCATTCTCTCAGTTGACCTACATACAAACATCCAATTTATAAATACCTTCAACCTTGACTTGAGTTCAGGAGCCAGTTATACTGAGTTAACCCCATGGATGGTGTCTGATTTTCTATTTAAAAAAAAAATCAGTCCTGAAATTTCACTGGTATTAGATGGGGACAAGTACAGTGCAGGACGTTGTTGTCAATTGTCGTGATCCTACAAGCATTTGAACTTTTGCCTGAAGTATACTCTCCAGATCCCTTGCCTGAAAGCTGTCCACCTAGACTCATGGTGCAGAAACACCACTAGAAGTCTGAATGATAGAGGCCTGTAGTGAAAATTTGTTAACCATTATTTACTCTAGGGATTTTGTTTGATCAAAACTTTTTGTTTCCTTTAACATCTTAAAAAAAATCATTTTTTTTAGTCTGGTATGTGATTTAGTAGTGAACTAAACAAAGTCTCAGCCTCATGGAAGTTGTATTTGGGAAAGGAAAATGGACATACAGTGCTCGATGTAGGTTGTGGTGAGAGCTGAGGATAAAAGTAGAGTTTAAGGGAGGCTGAAACTCTTGGGGTGGAGGGGAAGTGGTATCATCTAGGGTAGCATTTGAGTAGGAACTTGACAAAAATAAAGAGCACTCAGGGAATGCTACAGGAAGATGGTCTAACTCAAGAGAGCATCAGTGCATAGCTAAGAGGCTGGCGGAAAAGAGGACCGGGAGCTGGTCACTGTTGGGTTCAGGTGGTTGATGCATACAAAGCTCTACTTGGAATTATCACGGTCTTACAGATTTAGACTCATAAAGTCCATTAGTGCAATATTTGGCATACTAAAGAATTTTCTTTACTCTCCTAAAATCGATGTATAATATTTTCTAAGGAAAGTTTTGTTTTATTAATTTTTATCATAACTTGTAGTCAAAAAGTTTAACTTTTTCTTTGAAGCAGTAACAACACATTATTATAATTGAAAAATGATTCTGGTGGTTGATAATCTTTGTTCAGCAGTGATGCTAACATGTGGAAACAGACCTACCTCAATGTTTTGGTTGAGTTTCTTGACGATGCTAGTGATGGTCTGGATGTGACTTTCTAGTAACTTCCTGGCAAGAGATTCTTCTTTTTGAAAGCCATGGGCCCCGTGGAGGCAAGCAGAGAGGTCCTCCTTGATGCGGAAGGCTTGCTCGAGGAGGAAGGCTATGGTGCGCTCCTGGTTATTCAGCCTGTCTTCCAGAGGACTTGTCTGGCTGGTTGGAATGACAGGAAGAAAGGGGGAACCCCTAACCAGAAGAAAGAAAAACCACACTGTTACAGGAATGAGTAGGAGGATGCCTTAGTCACTCTTTTATTCTGTGAGGAGACACCATGACCAAGACAACTCTTACAAAAGAAAGTATTTAATTAGGGGCTTGCTTACAGTTTCAAAGGCTTAGTCCATTATCATCACAGAGGGGAGTGTGGCCGCCTGCAGGCATGAAGTATCTGAGAGCTTTATATCCCCACTCACAAGCAGCAGGCAGAAAGAGATCCTGGGTCTGGTATATAAAGGCTTTTGAAACCTCCAAGCTACACCTCCTGATCCAGTGGTTCACAATCTTCCTAATGCTATGACCCTTTGATACAGTTCCTCATGTACTGGTGACCCCCAACCATAAAATTATTTTGTTGTTACTTAATAACTGTAATTTTGCTACTGTTACAAATCATAATGTAAATATCTGATATGCAACCCCAAAGGGGCCACAGCCCACAGGTTGAGAACTGCTGTCCTAATTCTTTCTAAACAGTTCATCAGCTGGGGAATAGGCCTATAAGAGCCTATGGGGGCCATTTTCATTTAAACCAAGGAACCAGGAACTTGAACTCATTTTCTTACTGCTACATCTTCATTTTTCTCTCCTGTGAGACATTTAAACACTTTCAGAAGCTTGATTTGTGTCTTATCCAAGGACCAGGTCAGACTTAAGCCTTGTTATTATATTATACATCTTTTCTTGTCTCTCAAGCTAGAGTTATTTCATACTCAATGATGACAAATTTTAAAGCCCAAATGGTAATAGTTGGGAAGGAACTTATAGTAGACCTGAAGGAAGATAATAGAAGCCTTCTTCAATGACTTATGCCATTATATATCCTTGTATACAAATTCTATTTTAATCTAAAAAAAAATACAAGTTCTTATATATAACTTTAAAAATGCCAAACGGGGTCCTGGGGAGATCACTCAGTAGGTAAAATGCCTGCTGTGCAAACATAAGGACCTGAGTTCATATCCCCAGAACCCCCATACAAAACCAGGCACAGTGGTGTTCACCTGTGACTTTAGTCATGGAGACAGAGGCAGGCAGATCCCTGGAGTTATTGTTTAGCCAGTTTAGCCAAATCAATGAGCTCCATATTCAGTGAGAGACCCTGCCTCAAAATAAAAGGTGGAGGATGATTGAGAAAGATACCTTATGTTAACCTCTGGCCACACACACACACACACACACACACACACACACACACACACACACACACACACACCATTCATGCACAAAGTGACCGTTTGGAGAGGTTTCTATGAGGTTCTGTCTTCTAAGTAAAATTGGCCACTGCAAAAGAATTTTGTAGTCAAACAAAACTGGAAAACATTGTACACAATATCTTTCTCTTGGTGACTTACACTGTGTATTATCCTATTAGTGTTTAACAGTATTATATTAATTTTACAGGAAAGGATAATAGGTTATAGAATAGGTAAATAACTGGTCCAAGGTCATTCCAGACATGACTTGATTATTTTATCCCCGAGTATAGATCACTTCCAATGCTCTTGAGTGAAGATTTCTGACCTCTTAAAAGGCTACAATTTCATTAGATTTATGTAGAAGAAGTATATTAATTTTAACTAGTCTGCAATGCTATTAAATTTCGTGGGGGACTTGCATTATGCTGTGGTCCAGGAAAGGGTTTTTTTTTTCCCTTGGAGCTTTTGTTTAACCCACTGAGCTTCTGCAAGGGCACTCATTATAAAGGTGTGTTTCAGAGTGAATGCCGATGTGTTCTGAAGACTTCGAGTATCAGCTAGTGTTCTATACAGGTATGTATAAGTATTCCAAGAGTGACATAAGCAAAGGGGAGTTGGGGTGGTATAACCAGAAGTCTAAAGGAAGCTGGCTCAGCAGTGGTGTAGCAGACCAAAAAAGCCCTCAAATAGGCAGGCCCCTCTGGAGCCGTCACCACACAGAGCATACCTTTCCCTGCAGCCTGAAGGTACTAGTACCACCTTGACACAGCATGTCTATATTTTAAACAGAAAAAACATAGGGTGAAGAATAAGATGTTTACAAACTGAGCTTGTTCACCCTTCCTTCTTTAAATGAGAAATTTCTAGAGGATTTATCATGACACTTCAGCCTCTTTCATTGATTGAAACTATGGCATATGGACATATTTTATGACTTAGAAACAGTTTGTGTGACTATTAAAAGATTGTGGGGTTCTACTGCATTGTGCTAGTGAGCTTAGGCACTGTAAGAGCAATCCCCCAGCTTCTGGATGCTAATTAACTATAACCCCGTGAAGCAAAAGAGCCCAAATCATTGAGTAAGCCACTATGGACTCCCTATCCACAGAAACTGTAGGAAAATATTTGGTGTTTTATGCCACTGTGTTTTAACAGACATTGCTATGTGGCAGTAGATAAGAAATGTAGACAATGATTCATCTGAAATTTGGGGTAGACTGAGGCTAAGATGGTGATTCTGGACATGAGGGGAGGGCAGACATCATAGAGACTAAGGACCCAGAAGTTAGATTGGAAAAGAGCTTGGGAAAGGCAGATATTCTGCAGGTTCTAATTTGGGTTTAATGAACAATGATTCCCTTAATCAAAATTGCAATTAAAAAACACTAGATATAGGAGAAGAAAATAAATGAGATATTTATATTTAAAGTTTCCTGTTGGGTAATCTGAAATGTACCTAGAGATAGGGATTTGGATGTTTTCTGGAAGTTGAGTGATAGTTAATGATTTGGATGAGGACAATGAGATTGGCTGATATGTGTCTGCATGTGCATGCCCAAAAATGTATATGCCACAGGGAGAAGACGTTTTCAGCATTGTTAAGTCTGGATTAATCACACCACATTTCCCTACAATCCTATAGATATCAGGCACTTACAGGCACTCCTCTGGGATTGCCTGTCAGCTAGAGACACACAGTGTGTCAGTAGGTATCTGTGAAATGGGGAGAGGAAGTTGCTGCAGATATTGTGGTCTAAGCAGAGATTAGATACTAACATTACATGCTCACTAGTATCACTTAGAAATGAATTGTCCACCTTGGTCCTACCCTATCTTACTGTCCACCTGGGCCTCAATCCTATCCCATTGTCTAACCTGGTCCTGCCCTATCTTATGTCCACCTGGGCCTCTATCCTATCCCATTGTCCACCTTGGCCCTACCCTATCTTACTATCCACCTGGGCCTCAATCCTATCCCATTGTCTAACCTGGTCCAACCCTACCCTTATGTCTACCTGGGTCTCGATCCTATCCCATTGTCCACTTCAGCACTACCCTATCTCACTGTCTACCTGGTCCTTGATCCTATCTCGTCTACCTTGGCTCTACTCAATCCTAGATACTGTCTGCCATTGAGTGGAGGCCCAGAGCCTGCAATGTGATAGAAGAGATCTATGCAATTCCTGGAGCAGCCTTTGGTTCAGGGGAACATGTTGCCTTCCCCTCAGCCCAGGAGTCCTAGTGACTCTGCGTAATCCTTGGTGAGGCTGTTCCAAGACCATAGCATTCTATACGTAGCTCTAGATGGGGCTCAGGGGCCACATGCAGCTTTAGCCACCTTGAAAAATTGAAACTTTAAAGGAACTTGAACCTTGAGAATTAGTGTGACCACTGTCAGGCCCCCAGAGGAGCCCCAATTCCCTTGAAGGTAATGGACAACTCCAACATGACAGTCCCTGCTCAGCTCACGCTGGACTACAGGAGCAGCAAATCTCAGAAGCAGTGAAATGGGTATCTGCCTGCCAGGAAGGGCCATTTCAAAGCCCATGCTAGCCTGTAGACTTTTCAGTCCTATTCACAGGTACCTGTTATCCATTTCAAAGTCCACACTAGCATCCTGGCCCTTCTCACCCCCTCTTCTACCCTAAATCCTAGGCAGTTCCCAGTTCCAGTTCACAGGCTTCCCTTACCTCAGCTACAATCTTATAACCCACATGACTTTTCAGCCACCTGCGTGATTTTTCCACCACCCACTTCTCAGTCATGGCCATGCCTGGTCTGCTTCTTTTTCTCTCTGCTCTGGACTCTTATAGATGCTCCATCTCTGTGAGAGAAACCAGTTCAGTTGTTTCCTACTGCATTCTCACTAACAACTGCAACAGCTGGTGAATATCTATCTGCCTTGAAGAAACATGACTCATCTGAGACAAAGCACAGAGTGAAAGGACCTGGGTCCTTTGAAAGGTCCTTGGGGTAAACTTTCTGGGTTGCTGATAGTTTTGACAAAAAAGCAGAATTAGAATGTCTACCCTCTTCTCAACCTGGGAGAATTCCTATGAGAACTTGGAAGACCTGGAGAGAGAAAGAGCATTGTGTGTGTGTGTGTGTGTGTGTGTGTGTGTGTGTGTGTGTGTGTGTGTATGTGTGTGTGTAAGTACATGGTTGTTGCGATGTGCCTGCCATCTATGTTTTCTCAGGAAGGGTTACCAGCAGGCAGATCTCAGCAGGTGGCCTGCTCTGGGACTTGCTTTGGTGGAGAGAGTCATTTTGTCCAAGTCATATCTACTGGGACAATTTGCATGTAGTGTGTGAGCATAAAGGCCTGGCTTTGCTCTAAATCAGAACAGCTTTCACGGGCCATCTCCACTTCTTTGGAGATGCAACCTGAGTCAGATAATCACTTTGGCCTGAGATAAGAGACAGCCCAGCCTGGCTGTGGAGGATGAGCAGCAGGGAAGCATTACTTTCAGCTTCTCTATTTACTGCCCTGGGGATAAAATACTCATATGAAACTTCAGACTCTCCTATGGGACTTTGAGAAGGGCCAGGAAGAGCTGAGGCATCTATAAAGTATGGAAAGAGTCACAATAATAAGAAACAGGAGGAGCAACTGCCTCTAGGCAGTTTCCTCCATAGAATCCCACTGCAAATGGCAGAAAAGCTCAACTTCTCCCCGCACCTTGCCTCTTCACAAGCAGCAGAAAGTAAAAAACTCACGGAAGGTTCTTTGTAGGCTTGGCAGAGGTTGCCTGTGTCTTTCTGGAGCTTGGT